AATGAGATAATTTCAGTGGAGATTAAAACATCAATAAAAACAGACCATTCGGCAATAACCTTTTCAATCAGCGGCTTAGATAAAACTGAGAGAGGACCGAATTTCTGAAATTCAATTCGAACTTAGTAAATGACTCGGACCACTGTTAACTTTTAACCACTGAATATGTGAATTGGTTAGAGGAATTTAAAGAGGTTCAGGATAAGCGTGTTTTATGGGATTTAATTAAATACAAAATAAGACAGCCAACAGTCACATACAGTAAAGGTAAAGCCCGTGAAAGAAGAGCAAACTTCAAAAGATGGAAGATAAGCTAAAGGAATGTACAGAAAAATGTGATCTTGATCCAAGTAGTGGAAATCTCGAGGAACTGGAGTGTCTTCAAAAAGACAATTGCATTACACAAGGGGCAATCATTCGCCTTAGGGCGACCTGGTATGAAATGGGTGAGAAAAAAAAACAAATATTTTTGGAATTTAGAAAATTCAAATAAAACGAAAAGCAGTTTCCGCAAAATCTTAACTGATGGAGCATTAACTAGCGACCCCAAAAAGATTATGAATGAATTGGAATTATATTATTCTAATATGTATGATGCTAGGAATTCCGCAGACACGCAGACTATTTCTTCGTCTATAGATGATCTCACCGATGTTCCATATTTAGCCGAGGTGAAGAGGAACGTTTGCGAGGGTATGCTATAATGTATTACAGACCTTCCAAAAGAACAAATCGCCAGGGAACGATGGTTTAACAGCCGAGTTTTACTTAGCCTTTCGGCCCTTGCTTGGAAAATTGGTAGTTGATAGTTTGAAATAGGCTTTCGAAAACGGTGAACTATCGAACTCACAGGAACAGGCTGTTATCACCTTAATTGAAAAGAAAGGAAAAGACAAGAGGCTGGTGAAGAATTGGCGTCTAATATGACTTGTAAACATTGATGCTTAATGGGCGTCTAAAACTTTGGCAAAGTGTTTAGAAAAGGTACCTCCTGAAGTAATTCATTTTAATCAAAACGCGTTTGTAAAGGGGAGAACAATTTCTGATGCAGTCAGAACGATCGATGATTTGATTGAATATGCTAGGTACAAAGATATACCTGGGATTCTAGTAGCAATAGACTTTGAAAAAGCTTTCGACTCGCTCAATTTAATTTTTCTTTTAAGAGTGCTATATGCATTTAACTTTGGTCCTTCTTTTATTCAGTGGATACGGGTCTTATATAACAACGCCTCTAGCTGTGTAATGAAAAACGGTTTTACAACAGGACAAACCTATTCGCTAGACTTTTGGTGAATGTTCTGGTTTAAGAATAAATAATGAAAAAACCGAAGCCTTAGCTTTTAGGAAATAGTAGATCTCTTTGGGAGGGCCGGGGTTGCATTCTGATTTGCCAAATCTTTGTAACACTATTAAAATTCTAGGCGTTTACTTTGACAATGACGCTAAACAAGGAGATGAATTGAATTTTAGGAATACTTTGAAATCACTTAAGAAGACGATCAATTTGTGGAAATGGCGTGGTCTTTCTCTCTTAGGTAGAGTACAAATTATGAAAACCTTTGCCATCCCCAAGCTTATGTATAGAGTGTCGGTGTTGCCAATTTCTAAAGACCTTATCAAAGAGGCAGACTCGCTTTTTTATTATTTTATCTGGAATGGGAAAGATAAAGTAAAACGGAATGTGATGATATCGGAAGTTGAGAGAGGTGGCTTAAATATGCTCGATATTGATTCCATGGATCTTACCAGACGAGTCATATGTATAAAAAAAATATTTGGAAGACTATAAAAGTCCGTGGAAAGCTTTTTTAAATAAGATTCTTATCTCTGTTGGTAAGAAGCTCATATTGCATCGTAACTTTGATACTTCTAAATTAAGTATTTATCTACCAAGTTTCGACAAACAATGTTTCGGTGCTTGGTCAGAAGTAAATGCAAAAACGCCCAGCTTGCTACACGAAATTGCAAATGAAGTTATTTGAAATAACAGGCTTCTCCGCATTAATAAGGAATCTGTGTATCGTAGAGATATTGCAGATTTAGGATTTATCAGAATTTGCGATTTATTTTCAACTACAGAAAATCTCAATCCCGAGCAAGGTTTCTTCGTTATGGGTCTTATTAACTCTATGCCTGCCAGATGGCGCTTGACAATTAAAAAGGGCCACAACTGCACCGGTGATTAATCCACTTCCGGATTCACCTGCTATTCTGATAAGTAACAATTTGGTTCCAATTCTTGATGCTTCCTCAAAGCAAATCTACCGGCTTTTCCTGGAGAAAAAACAAACAACGCTTACTGTTAAAGAAAAGTTAGTTGCAAAGTATTCAAACATTGATATTGATTGGAAAAGTGTTTATTCGTTATCTTTTCGCACAACATTAGAATCTAAGCTTAGAGAATTTCAGTTTAAAATTTTAAACCGTATTGTCTTTACAAACGAAAAACTGTTTCGTTTTGGCATAGCTGATTCGCCGTCCTGTGCTTTCTGCCAAACAGAGGTTGAATCCGTAGAGCATTTACTCTTTTCCTGTAGGGTATCATCTAGTTTTTGGAAACATGTCTTGTCCTGGTTGCGCGATTATAACATCTCTATTGATAACCTTAAAGAGGAAGATGTCATTTTTGGTAAGTTCGATATTGCAGAAGATTTTCTTCTGTTTAACCATATTTTGCTTCTGGGTAAGTTTTATATTTACTCTCGGAAATACCAGAATGGTATACCTTCTCTTCAAGGTTTTATAGCCAGGACAAGGCGTATTTACAATATCGAACTCCATATTGCCAGGAAAAGAGACAAATTAAACAATCATTTTAGAAAGTGGGAAAAGTTAATAAGCGTTTTTACGAATAAGTGATGTCATGATTAATTTTCCATCATTAGTTTTAAAGTGATGTCACCGTAATTAACATATTAGGTAACTATGTTGCTGTAATAGCTTTGTGTGTGTGTTTAGCTTGGTATTCTTCTATTTGTATTATATGTGTATGTGTGTCTTTTTCTCTCTTTTTTTTTCTTTCTTACTTTCTATTTTGTATGTAAACGTAAGAAACGCTTCAATTAAAAATAAAAATAATAAAAAAATCCTTTAAGAGCTCCTAAAATCGTCAATTTTATCACTGAGCGTTTCAAACTTCGGAAACGTGGATCTCAAATGGTAAACTTTATTACTAGAGAAAAACAAATTTTACTTCACGTTCACTTGGATTTGTATTTGATAATGTACTGACAGCGCGTCCAACAGTGTAAATCCACAAGCTTAAAGTAAAAGTCTAGAATGGGACTTTGAAAAAGACGAACACAAGTTCGTAACGTTACGATGAGCATCAACTGTTCACAAGTAATATGATAATGATGTCTCACATTATGTACAACAATCCTGAATGACGTTTACACTTCACTGGTGCTTCTCTTCACAAACACCTGCTGCAACCACTATCTACTTTATCTCACATTTTGAACATTTCAAAAATGTTTCAAGAACAAATGCAATGTTCTGAGTAAGCAGCGATCCTAACGAAGCGCTTAAGTAACATAGACCTTGTGAAAGAGAGGTTGTTAGGGGCTTCTCACAGTTATGTATCGAGTCCCTGAAAATCAAGCAAAACTATGCATATTTCCCTCATAGGAGAAATTCTTGACATCTCCCTGCCACTTAGTAAATACCATTTCGAGGGAAAGTTCTCCTCACTGTACGGATTATTTAAGGCGAGAACAATAAACCTAAACTTAAAGCTAGGTTTTACTAAAAATCAAACTAACGAAGCCGAAGATAATTTTCAATTATTAGTAAAGAGAAAACGGTTGATCGACCAAGTCAAGAAAATTTCGCCCTACGGCGAGTAAACATGTTATAATTAGATTAAAGAAATTAGCAAACCGCCATTCCTGAATGCATAAACTATGCAAACTTGTTCTTTCATTCATAACGTAGAGAAAATATCGGGCCCAAGAGATCCATTAAGATCACAGATCACTTTATGTGTACCTCCGCCAATGGTTTTTACTGCATAACTTACACTTATTGCAATAATTTCTACATCGGCGAAACAGGAAGACGACTGGGTGACCGATTCCGAGAACACCTTCGCGACGTGGAAAGAAACGACAAGGACGCATCCAAACCAGTCGCTAGACACTTTAATCTCCCTAATCATTCTGACATGGCAGCCTGCGGCCTTTCCTTAGATCTAGGCAGTTCGGAAAACCGCAAAACACTAGAACAAAAATTTATCTTCCAAATCGGCACCCTTAATCCCCACATCCGAGCGCTTTTCATTCAACTAATTTATTCCTGTTTTCTCGTCACCATATTCCCACCAATGCGGAAGGCTCCACTTTCTGCATATAAACCCACACACAACCCACAATTCCTCTAATCGCTCTGACGAAGGGCTAACGCTCGAAACGTCAGCTTTTTTAACCTTTATGGTGGCTAATTTACGTTTTCAAACCAGTTGTTAACACTAAATTACCTGATATACTCTCCCACCGACGCAGCACCACAGTTTCCTTAGAAACTTACCCCCTTTATTCGCTATACCTAATCACAAGCATTTCAACTTAGGAGTAATCGCTTGCTCGAAAATGATTTACATAAATCAACTTATGGTGAGCTCTTAGTGCGTTTTAAAAGACGAATAGGGAAAAAGACCAATTTTATCGACTTTTGACTTTTAAGATGTAAGTGTACTATCTATGGAACATCACATGAAAAGATGCAAGTGCAGGTAAAAAGTATTTGTAGACACCGCCTACTTACTTCAAGTATTAGAATATGGACGCTGTTTATCTAAGGTTGCTTATGACGTCTCTCTTGTGCATGTATACATTCCTCTGTGATAAAGAGTCAGTGTAACTGTCTGAAATATTAAACGTTTAGTTCAAGTTCAACTCCTAGGATGGATTAGACTTGAAGGCACATGATGTCATTGTTAGTTCTTAGCCTTGCTCCAATGTTTCCTTTTCTGTGAAAGAAAATGAATTCGCAAAAAGTTACACGTCATATTTAGCTCCAAACCAATGCTGCGTTGTAGAAGCAGATGAAAACGAGCAGCGGTGATCCTGATTTATATAACGGCTTTTAAATCTTCCGAAATTTTTTTCACCGCGGAATCCACCTGGTTTTCCATCAAATTCACATCCGGCATCTATGCTACTGTAACTCTTTATGTGCCAGGACGAATCTATCAGCTGTTTTGTCAGGGCGGTGCAATTAGAACAGTAGATTCCTCGGATATTAATATATTCGTACCTCTGGCAGGTTTTCAAGGTACCAAAAATATCATGACCTGCCAGCTTAGCGCGTGCGTAGTCTGTATACCGCAGACCATCCGTAGAGAAGTTACAGGTTGCTCTCAGATGTGTGGAGTAAATAGCAAGAGACTGCATTTGCGATAAGGATAGTCGGAACTCGTTCCAGTTCACTCCCTCCTCTTCAATATCAATTGCAAGGTTTTTGCCAAACCCTGCATTCTCGAAGGCTTTTCCTCTAGCCAAGGAAAACGATTGTATCAACGTCCATATAAAGCCAGGTTCAGACTGCAAGTCACAATAAACAGAAAACCGATCACTGTTTGAATCGTAAATGTCGTATTTTCCTGATGCCGAGGCATTGTTCTTAGCAATGTCTTTGCAGCTTCTCGGATGTTTCATCCTCTCACAGCGCTGACCAGAGTATGTGTTAGGACAGGTACAGTTAAACCTGGTGCTGTTAGTGTCACAAATCTCCTGACATACCCCTCCATTGAGACAAGGATTGGTGCGGCAGCATCTGTCGATGCAATGATGCTTCTCTGGTGTGTATTTGTCTCCACCCTACAGCAACATTCAAAGGATTTTTTAGCTTACCATGCTCATCGAATTGGGTTGGCATGTACTTTTTAGCAGCCATCGACAAATCTCACCAGAAACGGATCGAATTGATAACAAACAGTGCGAGCAAAGTACGTATGCGTGCAACACACAGCGGGGTGCCAGAATGGAGATGAAATTTGCATTACAAATTAGATTTGAAATCCAGTAATACAGCAATGGTTAAGTCAGTAATGTCTTTATGAAATTTTTATTCACTTTTGTTCTGCCGTTCCCTTCGCATTACAACTTGGCCGTTAAGAAAAAAGTTTGCGAGAAAGAGAATGAACCTAATCCTCTCTCAGCCAAATCAGTTTGTTTCTGTTTTGTCTAGACCGATCATGTCGCAGACTAAACAGTATGCCCAAAATTGTCTTTGGCCCGGACTGACATATAACTCACCTCTTTTTTAAGGAGTACCGGAAAACTTGATCACGTGGGAAAATTTATTTTATTTACGAAAGTTGATAAATAAATGAATAAGGAATTAAATGAACAATGTTATCTCACCTTCACCGTGTAGCTTCTCACCAAATCATAATAATTTCCTCCTTGCCTCCATTTCATCGCCGCTGGCTCAATACCTTTATTAGCAACGTTAAGCTCACAGTTATTTTCTTTGGACAGAGGGAAATAGTTCATGGATACGTACAGGCAGTCATCTTTGCACTTCAAGTGACACTGGATGACATCGGGAACTGTCAATCTTTGAAACACGTGACCCTCAAGAATGTGATTATAGACGACATCTTCATCGATAGCAAACTTGAAGTTTAGACAAGTTACTGCTTTCTGTGCCACAGTGGAGAGGGTCAAATTGGATACAAACAGCATGAGTTGGAGATATTGTACGATGCCCATAGCGATGGCACTATTAATGTGAAGAAAAAAGATACATGATTATTTTATCTGACAAGCATGGGGCAATCTGGAACAAATTGAAGAGGTTTGGGTCTCTTGCTTAAAAGCAATCTCCATTGATAAAACTTCATGATATCAAACATTTGCTCATTTGTGGAAAATGCATGGATGCATTTTTCTTATTAACTAGGAAATTGTTTCCCTTAAAGCATGAACCATAATATATTTTTTTTTAAATCGCAACGGAGAGATACTAATCGTTAGCAGTAACATTGCCAAAATTTTAGTCGTTAGCCGTAAGAGCCATTACCATATTGAGACCTTCTTCTGAGTCAGTAACGTTTTGAAAGAAAGAGTTAGGAGGCGATCTCTGTAAGAGCGGTCCAGGGCATTTCGCATCAGAAAAAAGTTTTCCCTCAAACTTTGCCCAAGAATCTATCTTTGGTAACAAAAAAATAAAACCACATCAGCCCGGTCCTCGCACCACACTACATGCAGCAGAAAATATTTTGTATTCTTAAAGTGTGTGATATATAAGGTGCATAAAATGCATTTCAATTTTGATATTCGTTTATTCAGAGGCTCGTCATAATTTATTTAAAACACTCGTTGGACAGCTTTCTGAAATTGGTTAAAAGTACTCTTTCTTTCTTGGTTGATATTGCTAAAGTCCAGACCAGACCATCAAAAACTCCGCTTGATTTCTGCTAATAAGATGTTGGGCTGCAGAAAAATATAAAAACATCTTGCACTTATTGATTTTCTTCGCAGAGGTGACTTCAAACTTTTAGCGGTATTGCTAGCGTGACAGCTGATTATGCAAATTAGTTCATTGAGCAAACTCCGACCGTTTTATATGAGTAACTCAATAAATCTTAGATTTTAACCGTTTTGAGTAGAAAATATAGTAGAAATATAGTAGACAGAGCTTTAAGACCACACCGATTAATACCTTAACCATTTTAAAAGGCCAAAATTTTAACAAGTTTTAATTTCTCGTGACGAAAGAACAACAACGTATCGACAACAACGTATCGAATAACATAATTTGATTAGCGCTCGCAAACTTTTTTTAAAAATTCGGCTTCTGTTATTTCATATTTGAGTTCTGACAGCTTACGCTATTCAAACCTGTATGAACATTTCAAAACCAAACTACAGGATTCTATTTAGGGTAACCGGCGATAACAGCACACACTGAAATACACCGTGACCACTGTCACGTAATTCAATTGTGTAATTATCCTGAATTGCTTCACCCTTCGTAATAAAGCAGCGATAACATCGCGTTTTGGATCAGAATTCTGGTCGGCAGGAATAAGAGAAAATTTGTCTGCACACCTGTCTCTATGAAAGTTTCTATTCAGAACTCTAGGGAGTTCTTGTGGAAAAGGACCCCGCGATTTTTGAGGAAATAAATTATTACGTTACATGTCACCTCATTTTTCCAACAATAAGCTATATCTATGTTGTAAAGCGCGTAATTTTATTAGCTGTGTTTCATATGTCTCTTTCGGTACTGGTTTTCTTGGGAGTAATAACACTAAATTCTTGAAGCGGTATTCGTCACAAGAGGTCCTGTTTTCAGTCGCGTTCCTCAGAAACTTCGTTCGGAGACTCACGAAGAGTCTCCGGTTTGCTTAACTTGCCTCAGAGTACTGAGAGTCATCTCTGCTTAATCCATTTGTCAAAAGAGAGTTCCACAGAGGGATAGCTTATCTTTGCAAGGGCTGGCCTGTTCGATGTAGAAGACTCAGTTATGGCAAAATGTGGGTCTGCGCAAAGCATAGGCACACTTATGGGAAGTTCTGACGCCAAAGGTCAGCGTGCCAGTATCCGACACACCCTGGCAGCGATTCCAAAGGGGTAAAGAGCCGGTATTCTGTCAATTTGCAAATGTCAAAGGCCATTTCTAAGATGTATGGTGTTCTATAGAGGTTTAGACAACACTGCAGCTGAGGGAGTGGATGGTTTCAAGGATTTTCTCCAAATTATAGACGAATTGGAAAGCGTGGGAGCAGAAAAGGACTAGAGTAAAGAGGTTCGGAAGAGGCTTCAGGAGAGCAAGTTGTATTTCAAGACTACATACCGTAATCACTTGGAAGAGGACGATAGTAAATGTGCCGATCACTGTAGGGTCTTTGCACTGAGCGATGCTGCTGACACCGACGTTCAGAAAGTAGGCAGTCACAGTCATAACGTGAAGTGTGAGGATGCTCTTACAGAGATCGCCTCTTAAGAGTGTGTTCGTCTCTCTGTGAAGTCGATCTTCACTACAGAATCACTTATTTGTGGAATTTCGAAAAGAAGATTAGGCAAACATTCAAGCCCAAACGAAATTGCTCCTCGATGTTTTCTGTAAGGAGTGCTTTACAAAAGGAGCCGTAAACGTTCCCTGCAGTTAACCTAAGCTTATTTTTCCATTTAGAGGCTAGAATGATCGGAACGAAACAATATTAACTTTTACTTGAGGATTTCCGCGTTGGATAGCTGTTAGTAATCCGAATGACTCGATACGTCGTCCCGGTATTCCAGGAAAGAAATCAGGGCTGAAGTACCCGCAGCCACTACAATCTTTGCTTTCCATGAATCAAGTAAACATTTCAAAAGATAAAAATCGTTAGTCAAATGTAAAATTCTTCAGTCTATTTAAATAACTTTCGATTCTAACTCGTTACATGAACTAACTTTGGTCTCACTTTTTATAACCAACGAAACAAGTTGATTTTGATGGCCGCAGGGAAATGTTGAGTTTGTCGCTCAAAACCGTTGTGGTCCATGACAGCGTTAAATCCTCAATGATGGAAACAAATTTGCGGAAAGGAGGGCTAGTTCATTCCGTTCTGTGTGCTAAATCTCGAGAGAAACTGCAAGAGTTCTTTCAGAGTGTATGCCCGTTGTTTTGTAAATAACACTATAACGTATTTTAACTTGTTTGTGGGTCCTTTTAAGGTATGCGATATATCTGTTATGACCAGAGTGCCAAATTTTATATTTTAACTTTGATCTTCTTCACACTGTGCGTAGTTGATGACCTGATGTCACAGCGAAAATTATCTAGAAAGCGCCTTATGATCACATTTGTTCACTTTGTAAGTCACGCAAACGCGCTAGCGTTACGATTGATCACGTTTACGCAACGTTTTAGGAGAACTTGGCATCCATTCTCCACTCATTTGTTATGAAAACCTAAAATCCTTTGTGTAAAAGATAAGCAAACGAAGTTTGAACGGTCGAAAGGAGATCTTATTCAATTTTCAGAATTATGCAAATGATTTTTGACACGAGCGCAATTGAGCAAATTAAACACATGGATTTGCGTTGTTTTTAAGAGGTTGGTGGATGAAAATGAGAGATAAACCCGCGGGTTTGAGGCGGTCAGTAATCTCATTGGTGTATAAGTTATGCACTTACATGCCTTTTTAGCCCGATTAACGCCTGCATTTTGAGAATTCTTTCGTACATGTTGGTGAATTTTTGATATTCAAATTAAGGTCGAAGAGAAGGGTCCCTGTGATCACGTGGTATGAAAAATATTTCAGGTGAAGTTTTCATATTTTGTCTGTGAACTGTGAACCGTGAGCCACGTTATAGCAGTCTCTGTGCGCTAGACAAAATCTACAAAAATTTACACTTTCGATCGCTGTCCGCACGGGTGGACTAGCCAAAACCACTTTTTGACTTGTGGCGATGCAAAAAAGGAGAATAGGAGAAAAACTACACTATTTTTGAAACATGTGTCCTAAACCCTCTTCCAGGGAAAAAAATTGAAAGAAACTTTTTTCCAACGAGAAGTCGAGAGGACCGCTCTTAGCGAGAGTGGCACGTTACAAAGATGCCCGTGTGGAGACCGTTAACAATTTAAAAAGGGAGAAGATCTTTGTATGAGTATTCCACGGTGTGTGGTGTTCTGAAGCATAAAAAAGAAAAAATTTAACAAAAGTTGGAGTCCCGTAACAGCTGACAACATTTATAAAAACTACTTACTAAAAGTAACTCAGTGACATCGAATTGAAAATTTAATACTGGACTACTATTTAGGCCACTGCGATCTTTCGCCATAAGTACAAGAGAACTTTTTTTTTTATAATAATCAATGCATGATGTCTCCAAATCCTGAAATAGAAATTCGGCTTACTCATGATCAAAAATATTTTCTTCTTTCGAAATTAGGTAACATTATTGATATATAACATGCGATAAACAAATAGAACCTTTCACAAATACCAGATGCTTCGGATGTGCGCGAAAACTCTCACACATATGACATGCAACAAAAACACGAAAGTTCTGTCTCCAAATTTTTCCACCCATTTTGTCGCGAAAAGTTGCGTAAAATATATCGATTTTTAAGATAGGAAGTCATGTGATGTGAGAAAGTTTTCAAGCCGGCATATGTGTCATGAACGATGTCTGATGTATTACATTTAGACCTAGATGTAAAGTTGTTGATATGATTTCTTCAGTCTAGTAACTGCCAACAGAAAATTCATAATATTTATAGCTAAGAGTTAGAGTGCCCGTCGTGTTTAGGGAGTGACTTGAGTCAATTCAGCTTCAAATACTTTTAGGCACTTTACATGGCGTCTCACGGTTTTCCTTGAGAAGAATCATAGGGATGAAAATGATACTCGCACTTAGCATTTTCTGTAAAAATCACTCTACTAATTAAATAGATAAACCGTGATATTATTTTCATCTTAAGATGTATCCCTTTTATAAAGCACCTTGAGTTTACTTTATTTGGTTTGGTGACCTAAAGCTTTCTACTCCGCCGTTGTTGAAGTCCTACGAAAATTTTCCTACATATACTGGTCATTCGGCTGGCATTGGATGCCTTAAACGCAGACAGTTATATTAACGTTTTTATCTGGATTAAAAACAGATTTTATCTTGTTGAGCTGGCTGTCCAAACAGGAATTATCTTAACTTACCTCCTTTTTCCCGCCTCCTCTGACTTTTCCACTTTTTGCTTTGCTCCTCGATTTGAAGTGAAGAATTTCACCTTTTTATCATTCAAAACAATTAAACTTCACAATAAGAAACGGAAAAGTCCAAAAACAAAGAATGGAGGTCGCCATCACCAAAATAAAGATGCTCACAGCTGGGTGCCAAACTTCTTGTCTCACAATTAAAAGGAAAAAAAATTGACTACAATGTTTTCGTACGTTTCCAACGAGTAGTTGAGTGCGATTCAGTTGAATAGCCGTTTTTTTTCTTTTCTTTTAACTCTCCACAGAAGTGTCTTAATAGCTGAAAAACAAGAAAAGGGTTTCACCTTCTTTCTTACAGTCGTTGGAGGATATACGTCGCAAGTGTCTTTTATTTATCATCTTTGAAGTACATTGATCACAAACAAAACAAGTAATTTCACAACAAGAAGCGTCAGAGATCAGAGACGAACAAAAGAGATCGCCAACACCCTTTTAATCTTTAAATTGTCTTTTCTTCAGAAAAATAGATACTTACAGCTGGGTGTCAAAACTCGTTGTCTCACTATTGAAAGGAATGAAATAGACTATAGTTTCGTACGTTTCCACAAAGGAATTGATTTTGCTACTGGTAAATAGCCTTGAAAGAGGCAGGTGAAAAGTTAACATGAATTATCAATGAAGGTCGATCCGGCTCCTGCTTTTTAATTTTGGCTAAGTACTGATAAAGGGGCTCACGAATAAAATTTCTTGACTTTAAAATTTAAATTTAAATCTCTTAACTTTAAGAAGTAATATCGATCTTTACGCTCATATAAGCATCACTCTTCTAACGTTTGGCCCAAAGAAACATAGGACTGTTATGAATTCTATGATTATCTTGTGCGTGTTTATCAAGGTTTGTCAATTATTAAAGACTAACTATTTATACCTCTGAAAGGACCTCGATCTCATACCCCTATATTCCGATAACGGCTACAACTCTGGGGGAAGATCTTGCCTTTCTGAAAAACATAATTTATTTTCTTTACGGGTTGATTTAAGAAGGCAAAGTTCACGAGTTTTCTAACCTTCCCCTTGGTTTTAATTTCAAGTTTAATGGAGTTTCTGCTCCCTCCCGGGCTTTTATAATTCCGACCGTTTATTATTAAGTGTGGTTAAGAATAAAAATGAGGCTAAACGAAGATGTTGTTTCTTTCAGTAGACATGTGTACTTTGTCATAAGTTTCAGAATTGTTACGAGACGTTTTCAAACTAATCGAACTTCAGTAACTTTGAAGGCAAATCACTTCTCAAAATGAAGTGGAACTTTGTATTCGAAACATTTTATTTGATTAATTTTTATGGCTGAGTTTCAAGCGTTCCCCTACGACCGAAAAGTTAATTCAAGATGCGGAAAAAAAGTTTGGTTAAATATGAGTGAAGTGTAAATACGAGCCTGTTTTGAAAGGTTATGTGTCTTTTTGTGCCCATTGTACAACAAATATAGGCTGAGATTTGGATCAGAAAATGTAGAGGTACACTTTCAGGTTGTTTAATGGCACGAATATTTTTCATTTTCTTTTTTTTCTGAGTCTTTGAAGGAGAAGGTGTTATTAATTTTTTATTAGCCTTTCCACGGCTTAAAGATTTTGAAATGAAAATTAAGAGAAGTAAATCAGCACTGAGATCAAACAGCAAGATTTTTGTGTTCGTTTTGAGTATGGGTAAGAATAAATCGGTTCTGAATAACAGAGCGTTTATAGTCTCCTTCAAAGTTCATTTTTAAGCTTATACATCTGTTTTTTTTCTTTTGATTGTTTTTTTGTTTTTAATTTGTTTTTTCGAGCTTGTTCGACAATTCACTGCTTGCTTATAAATCTCTCTTTTCCCTTTTCTTTTATCCATGAGAAAGCGCGAGTCTCCAACTCGAGACTGCCTGAGGTAAGAAAAAAAAAACGTATGGGGGTAACTGAATGTGGAATTGAGAAATGATAAGCGAGAATTTCGTATGCGGCTATGCTACTTGGAATATGAATTTATATTTTCATATCATTTTTTTACCTAACAGTAACTTATGACATAGATCCTCTAACTTTTCGCGAAATGTCAGCCGTAGAATGATTACGCTGTTGCAATGCAGTCATGACACCAAATTGTCACAAGACTTTTGTAGACCAGCGACCTTGTTGGAAAACTCCTTACCTGAGTAAAGCGAAAAAAACTTTATTCGCTGATAATTACTTTCTCATTATTAATGCATGAATAGGAGAGTTCGAGATCTGTAGTTTATGATAATTATTGTAATTCAAAAAAAATGTTTTGTTAGCTCGGATTAAAACGGTCAGACGTTTTTGAAAAATTTCTCTTAAAACGTCTTAATCTACATCACGTTTTTCAGTGAACACCGCCCTGTAATTAAGCTTGAGTCGAGCAATTTGGCATTTTATAAAGTAATTAGAGCATGTCTTGAAATGAACTATTATTTTTAGGCGAACGAAATGGAAATAACACTAAAACGCTGTTTGTAGGCAGTTCACAAGCCAATAACGGAATATGCATATCTAGCATGAGCTGGCTATTTAAGTCACATCTCAGACTTCATTCATTTGTAGGATTAGTCTTCAACAACTTGACGATACAGCGATCCCCATAAGTCTTGGCACAACGGGGTTACAGTAGCAGAGTAAGAGGATGTGAATTTGATGGAAGACCAGGTGGAGTCAACTACCAACAATTTCGGGGAGTATGGGGTTGTGCGGGATGCGGAGTGCGGTTTTTTTTTTTTTTTTTTTTCTATATTGTTACGGTATAATCTAACCGACAGGAAAGCACTATAATCCTACAAATTCAACTACTCTATTAAACAAAGAGTGATATTCTCAATAGGGTGCGACTCCTAAAGGATGTACAGTACTTATCGTTAATGAACTTAATTTAGCCCACCGCAGTCTATATCTTAGATCACCACTGACCCGAGATTTGTATTGCTGGATATCAACTGTTACGAAGAGACCGCTGTGGAAAAGCTGGTGGAGGAGTTGCTATTTATGTTAAAGATGATTTAAATTGTGTGCGGTTCATTAAGTATGATGTTCTAATCTTGAAGCTGTCTGGATTGAAATATGTGCATTCTCCCAGCGACTGCCTGTTGGTTGTATGTTCAGACCTCCTGACCGTACTGATTTCTTTGATAAATTTCGCAGTGTTATGAAATAAAAAGTGGCTTACAGAGAAAAATGTTGTGATAGCTGTTGACTTTAACGCTGATCAGCTCTCTCCCAAATGTAATAGTTCTATGCTAAAACGTATTTGTCAGGCTTTCAACTTCCGAAATTTAATAACCCGCCCGACGAGAATTGCTGAATCCTTGAACCATCAAAGTTCACATTCTGCGATGGTTTACAGACTTAAATAGTTCAGCAGGTCGAATTTAACACTTTTGCCGGAAGGTTTTTAGTCTCTAATACAGAATCTGAACGTGAAATGTTCAGTGAACTTCAGCCGAATTGTGGCTCATAAAAACACGTAAGTTTTTCACATGACAAGCAGAAAACAAAGTGTCCAAGGCGAGTGTTTTATGAATGAACGTCAGCCGAATTCACCGGAACATGAAGATCGCTTGGGATGATGTGGCCTTCTACTCAACGCATCGGAAAGGATATCAGAGCAAGCTCTGATTTTTTTTCACTCGAAGGACGGCCGATGTAGTTTCTGAGACATGATTCACTGCGATGACCGGAGATCGCCATGATGAGCTAGCCGCGATGGACTCAGCATGATCACATTCGCTCTGACACCGTCATGATAAGTATGAATTTTAACAGCTAGGCCAGTTTGGTTATATTTTTCATCATTCCTGTTTTGTTCTGTTTTGTTTTTGAACACAAAGCTTTATATACTATACAAGTGATAGCTGTGTTTGATTTTTGTTACCGTACGTAAGCTCGCAATCTAACTGAGCGTGAAAACCATTAAACCTCGGACTGTCCATATTGTTTTCTCTTTGAGGATTTTCGTCTCTGCTCCCGTTTCAATAACGTAAATTACAATGCCTGGCATGTTTACAAACCTTGGTTGGGTTCGTCTGTTGCTACTTGGCGGCTCGCTTGTTCCGAAATTTCGCTTTTAATTATCGAAAAAAAGCTAGAGAGAGGTCCCGGAAAAGGTTGGACATAGTACAATTTGGCGGATAGCGTGACAGCTTTAGCTCAGCTCTATGCTCTATACTCTCTTATAAAACGTTCAGAGAAATAGGCGCGCCGTGATTGGTCAGAACGATTTCATTATATTTCCATAATGCACGCGCCTTACGTCACACGAGTGCACTGTTGAGATATAATGCACGCAGCTTAAGTAATGGGTACGTGTGCGCGCAATTTACGATACATTTTAGTATAGGTAATCATATGATTTCGAGTGCAATTCGGAATAAATAAGCAGTTGTAAATTTTTTCCAAGACCAACAAAACTGTGGTCTTTGAAAAAATTTGCAAGTGCTTATTAACTCCAAATTGCACGACAAAAATCATGTGATTACAAATAAAATTAATAATATGCATGAAAAAAGCCGCTGCCTTTCCTGTGTTCCGCTCAGGTTTTCTACAGCCTCTGTTTCTCATTTCCGCTGCTTTTGCGTTGTCAGTTTTCTTCTTATCGTTTTCTACGGAGTCTTCAGCTGCAGCTGCGGCTATTTCTTCCAGAGCCTTTTCCAACCTACTCAAATAACATTCAATTCCACTTGCCTTCTCTTCTTCTTTCATCTTTGTTTTAAATTTCTCGCTCAGCAATAGGTTTCTTTCTCTAACAGCAAGCTCACTGACTTTGAATCTGAAAAACTATAATAATGTTTAGCTTCAGCGATTTTTTTCCTTGAAAAAACTCGGGTAAATCATTTAGATTAAATTCCTGGTTTAGTTTTAATACTCATTACGAATATGAACTGAGAACAACTTGCTGGACTTTCTTATTTGAACTCGTCTCCATTTCAGCCTATTTGAGTCACGAAGTTTTGAAGCTGTTTAGAGGGAGAAAGAAACTTCGGTCAGGAAAAATGTTGACAGTTCATTATATATTGAAAATATACAATAAGTTCATTTGAAATGACCTTAAAGTAAAAAAAACTTACTTACGTTTTTTAGACAAAAGACAAACACTTTGTTTTGACGTCGCAGACAACACAGCTACGGTGGGAAACTTCGCGCACCGGCTACCGGAAATGCGCCAGCAAATATTTTAAACTTCCGCTCGCCGTCGTCCCTTAAGTCCCTATTTGCGGATCGGTTTACGTCAATCTGTCGGGCCCTACATTAATTGAGGTTTTCAGCCAATTCAGAGGCTTTCATCCACCATTTCGCCATTATTGATGAGTAACACGTCAATGTTGCGTGCGTTTGAACTGGATTCCAGATAATTCTGGGCATTTTAATCAGCCACCCACGCATGTACAATGTAGCCATTCAGAGTATGGAGTTACCTTTTTTTTTTGACCGAAATCTGGCAGCTCTTGTCCAATAGAGAACAATACGAGTTAGAATAGGATTATGAATTTGCATGTTCACCCCCAACTATCTCGAATACATAGAGATTATTCCATGGAAAGTGCGTACGAACGAGTTTTATTCACGGGTTGCGATACACCACAAAAAAAAAAAAGAACAAGTGAGCGCAGCGAATGAATAAGTATTTTGATGCATCGCACTTTCCATGATATGAAGTTTTTATTTCATTCATACTTAGATTTCTTCTCATTGAACAAAAAATTTCAAAGATTGAAAATATACGACTTTTCAACGACGAATGTGAAAGAAGACGATTTTATCGAGCTTTTGACTTTTAAAACGTAATAGTGTTATCTATGGAACATGACTTGAATAGTGAAAGTCAAGGTAAAAAGCGTTTGTAGAGAGACCGCCTAAAAACGCAAAATTTAAATATTAAGATATGGATGCTGAGTATTTAAGGTTGCTTACGACGTAGCTCTTGTGTTTGTCTTCATTCCTCTTTGATAAAGAGTCAGTGTAACCATCTGAAATATTTAACGTTTAGTTCAAGTTCAACTCCTGAGGAGGACCACATTTGAAAGCATACATATGATGTCATTGTTTGTTCTTAGCCTTGCTCTAATGGTTTCTCAGAGTGGTATTTTGTCGGCTGAGTTTCCTTTTCTAAAGTAAAAATGAATCCACAAAAAGTCATAAATCATATTTAGCTCAACACCTGTGCTGGGTTGTGGAAGCAGGCGAAGACGAGCAGCGGTGATCCTGATTGCTATCGTTGCAGCCATACTCCACGAAATTGTCTTCCTTGTTGATGAGTCCTCCTGCTCCTCCATCAAATTCACATCCCCTCTCAATGCTACCACAAACCGTGATGTGCCAGGATGCCTCCTCTGACTTTTCCAATTTTTGCTTTGCTCTTCAATATGAGGCAAATACTTCCACCTTTATATCACTCAAAACAATTAAACTAGAAGAGAACAGAAACAATGAAAAGAGCTCGCCATGAGGTGTTTTTCATCGAGAAAGATCGACACTTACAATTGGATGTCAACGCTTGTTGTCTCCACAATTAGAAGGAAAAAAATTGACCACGGTATTTCCGTATGTTTCCTTGGAGAGTTGAGCGTGATTCAGTTGAATAGCCCTTTTTTTCTTTTAGTACTCCTCAGAAGTGTCTTAATAGCAAAAAAAAAAGGAGTCTAACTTTTTTAAATTCGTAGGAGGATATACGTCGCAATGTGTCTTTTAATTATCTTTAGAATAGTGATCACAAAAAAAAACAAGTAATTTCACAACAAGAAGCGGTAGAGACCAGAGACAGACAAAGGAGATCGCCAATAGTCTTTTAATCTTTAAATTGTCTTTCATTCAGAAGTATAGATACTTACAGCTAGGTGACAAAACTCATTCTCTCGCTATTGAAAATTTTCCTTCGTTTCCATAGAGGAATTGACTATGTTACAGTTAAAAGAGGCAGTTGAACACGAATTATGAGTGATGGTCGATCCGGCTCCAGCTCTTTATTTTTGGCTGAACTCTCTATGAAGGAGTCCACAAATGCAAAGGTTCAAAAACTGACAAACAGTCCCATTGGAAATTACGTCACTCAACCTCCTTACTTTTGTATCCGCCACCTTTAATGATATTTCAACTGGGTTTCTTATAGGTTATTTATATACTAAAGGAGCTGAATGTTTGGAATGACTTTTTTAAGCAGTATCAGTACGCAAAGAGAAAAAAATAGAAAAACAATTTAAGGAAACGGTACAGAAACACTCAAATTTAATTTACACCACGCACAAAACTAGTGTCCCTGGTTGGTACAGTGTCGTTTCTCAAAAAACGCTTCATCTTCATCCCTTGGGCCTCCATCATGCTGTTTAATATGGACAAGTTTTGCTCATAGCATAATTCTTCAAAATTTTCCCAACAAAGCGACGTTTACTGCCAAGTTGGATCGTTACGATCGTGTCTTTGTCTGCAGACAAATTTCACCCATTTTCCTCTCACAATGTGGATCGTTCGGGAACTGAAATATTCTATGCCCGGTGCCGGAACGATCGATTTTGACAGTTTTGCTGGTCAGAGCCGGGGCACCAGCAACACAATATCGCCCTCGTGTCGAATTCGACTGAATTCGATTTTATGTTACCAAAGTGACGTCAGCGGTTTTTTGTGAAATGGTACTTTGGCCGCGCAATTCGAATACCTCTTTTGAGGGGAAAATAAGATGATGTCTCACATTATGTACAACAATCCTGAATGACCTTTACACTTCACTGGTGCTGCTCCGACAACTATACCTACTTCGTCTCCTACATTTTAAACATTTCAAAAATTGTTCTAAGAACAAATGTGCAATGTTATTAAGTAAGCAGTGATCCTAACGAAGCACTTAAGTACCTTAGTCCTTGTCAAAGAGAGGCTGTTGAGGGATTTTCACAGTTATGTATCGAGTCCCTAATATTAAAATCAAGCAAAGCTGTACATATTTATCACCTAGGAGAAATTACTAATATCACTGCCACTAAGTAAATACCATTTCTCCTCACTGTACGGATTTTTAAAGCGAAATCAAGAAACCTAAACTTAAAGCTTGGTTTTACAAATGATCAAACTAACGAAGCCGAAGCTAATTTTCAAAAAAAAGAAAAGTAAAGTAAAAGTTAAGAGAAAACGGTTGATTGACCGAGTCAAGAAAATGTCGCCCTACGACGACAAAACATGTCATTATTAAATTAATAGCGTACGGAGGTATTTAAACATCTCTGAATCTAAACACAAGCATTTCAACTTACGGTTACTCACTTGCTTGAAAATAATTTGCATAAATCAACTAATGGTGAGCTCTGAATGTGTTTTCAAAGACGAATATAAAAAAAAGGCCAATTTTATCGACCTTTCACTTTTAAGATGTAAGTGTATTATCTATTGAACATTACATGAAAAGATGAAAGTGCAGGTAAAGAGTGTTTACTCAGAGACCGCCTAATTCCTTCAATTATTGAAATATGGACGCTGTGTATCTAAGGTCTAAGGTTGCTTATGACGTCACTCTTGTGCATGTCTGCATTCCTATATGATAAAGGGTCAGTGTAACTATCTGAAATATTAAACGTGTAGTTCAAGTTCAACTCCTAATTGGACCAAACTTTGAGGCACTTGATGTCATAGTTAGTTCTTAGCCTTGCTCCAATGTTTTCCTACTTTCAGTTGGCTGTCTTTCCTCTTCTGTGAAAGGAAATAAATTCGCAAAAAGTTACTCGTCACATTTAGCTCCAAACCAATGCTCCGTTGTAGAAGCAGGAGAAAACGAGCAGCGGTGATCCGGATTTATGAAATTTTCGTCAAATTTTCCGAAATTTTTTTCACCGGAGACTCCACCTTGTTTTCCATCAAATTCACATCCGAATTGTACGCTATCGTAACTCATTATGTGCCAGGACTTATTTTCCTTTTGTTTTGTGCGGGCGGTGCAATTAGAACAATAGATTCCTCGGATATTGACATATTCGTACATCTGGCAGGTGTCCCAGGTACCAAAAATGTCATGACCTGCCAGCTTAGCGCGTGCGTAGTCCGTATACTGCAGACCATCCGTAGAAAAGTTACAAGTTGCTCTCAGATGCGTGGAGTGATTAGCAAGATACTGCATCTGTAATAAGGATAATCGGAACTCGTTCCAATTTACTTCCTTCTCTTCAATATCAATCTCAAGATTTTTGCCAAACCCTGCATAATTGAAGGCATTTTTCTTGGAAAAGGAAAACGATTGTATTAACGTCCATACAAAGCCAGGTTCAGACTGCAAGTCACAGTAAACAGAAAACCGTTCATTGTCTGAATTTGAGATGTCGTATTTTCCTGATGTCGAGGCACCGTTCTTAGCTATGTCTTTGCAGCTTCTCGGATGTTTCATCTTCTTCTCACACCGCTGACCAGAGTATGTGTTAGGACAGGTACAGTTAAACCTGATGCTGTGAGTGTCACAAATCTCCTGACATACCCCTCCATTGAGACAAGGATTGGTACCGCAGCATCTGTTGATGCAATGATGCTTCTCTGGTGTGTATCTGTCTCCACCCTACAGCAAGATTAAAATAATTTTTTAGCTCACCATGCTAATCGAATTGGGTTGGCATGTACTTTTTAGCAACCATCGACAAATCTCACCGGAATCGGATCGAATTGATAACAAACAGTGCGAGCAAAGTACGTATGCGTGCAACACATAGCGGGGTGCCAGAATGGAGATGAAATGTCCCTCAAAATTAGATTTGAAATGCAGTAATACAGCAATGGTTAAGTCAGTGATGTCTTTATGAAATTTGTAGTCGCTTCTGTTCTGCCGTTCCCTTTGCATTACAACATGGCCGTTAAGAAAAAAGTTTGCGAGAAAGACAATGAACCCAATCCTCTCTCAGCCAAATCAGTTTGTTTTGGTTTTGTCTAGACCAATCATATCGCAGACAAAACGATGTGCACAAAATTGTCTTTAGCCCAGACTGACATATAACAGACCTTTTTTTTAAGGAGTACCGCAAAACTTGATCATGTGGAAATATTTATTTTATTTACGAACTTGAACATCTTGGGATATTTACTTTGTTTACGAAAGTTCATAAATCAATGAGTAAAACATTAGATAAATAATCTTATCTCACCTTCACCGTGTAGCTTCTCACCAAATCATAATAATTTCCCCCTTGCCTATATTTCATCGCCGCTGGCTCCATGTCTTTGTTAGCTTCGTTGAGCTCACAATTGTTTTCTTTGGACAGAGGGAAATAATTCATGGATACACACAGGCAGTCATCTTTGCACTTCAAGTGACACTGGATGGCGTTTGGGACTGTCAATCTTTTAAACAAGTGACCCTCAAGAATTTGGTTATGGATGACATCGTCATCGATAGCAAACTTGAAGTTTTGACAAGTTACTTTTTTCTGTGCCTCAGTGGAGAGGGTCAAATTGAATACAAACAGCACGACTTGGAGATATTGTACGATGCCCATAGCAATAGCACTACTAATGTGAAGAAAAAAGAGATGCATGATTATTTCATCTGACGAGCATGGGGTAATCTGGAACGAAATACATAGATATTTGGGCCTCTTGCTTAAAAGCGACCTACATTGATGCATTATTTTAAATTAACTACGAAATTGTTTTTCTTAAAGCATGAACTGTAACATTTATCTTAATTGCAACGGATAGAAAAGAATGGTTAGCAGTAAAATTGCCAAAATTTTAGTCGTTAGCCGTAAGAGCCATTACCATATTGAGACCTTCTTCTGAGTCAGTAAACGTTTCGAAAGACTGAAAAGAATGTATTGGTCTCGCTGTGAAGTCGATCTTCACTACAGAATCACCTATTTGCGGAATTATGAAAAGAAGACTAGGCAAACATTCAAGCCCAAACGAAATTGCTCCTCGACGGTTTGTGTTAGGAATGCTCTACAAAAGGAGCCGTAAACGTTCCCTGCAGTTTAGCCTAAGCTGAACACAGTTTATAGAGAATTCATTGTCAGCTCAAATGCTAAGCTGATTTCTCTCCATTGTCTAGGTTGCAATGGAGGGAGATATATTGGCAAATGGAACTGATATAAATAAATACACGAACCAGTAATTGCTGATTAAAAGACGAGCTTTGCGTCGGAAAAATTTTTTATGCAAATTAGCTGGCTGCACATTGAATGTGCAGCCAGCTAATTTGCATAAGTAAGTCAAGCCAAAGTTTGACGCCTCTTGGTGGCATGAGGTGTTCGATGAACATTCCAGGACATCCGATAATCGCTATAAAAAAGTTAATAAAGCTCCCCTCGAATGAAATGGAAAAAACCGCCACTTCCGATGATTACATTTCTTATCATTTTCAAGATACAACTCTACTTTGTCCCTCATTTTCCAGAAACAAGAGTCCAGAGAAATGCCTCATACAAACTTAACGGGTCTAATTCAAAAAAACCTAAGGGGCGGTACCCTAAGTTTATTTTCTCTGTAGAGACAATAAATGTCTTAAAGAAGTCAACAGTAAATCGTTAACACAAGGTCCACAAATAGTCCTGACCAAATGTTACATAAACATATAACAGGAACACTTTAAAACACTTTAAAACACGTGAAAAAGAAGAAACTCAAAAATAGCCTAAAAAGCGGCATCAGTAAAGCTGATTTCACCTCCATGATCGAAGACCTGGGCCAATCTAAGGCTGACTCCGACAAACCCTTCTTTACACAGGTCATGGTTTTGAACTTTTAAAGTCCAGAAACTGCGTTGATTAGTTGTTTTTCTTAAAGCATGAACTGTAACATTTATCTTAATTGCAAAGGAAAGAAAAGAATGGTTAGCAGTAAAATTGCCAAAATTTTAGTCGTTAGCCGTAAGAGCCATTACCATATTGAGACCTTCTTCTGATTCAGTAAACGTTTTGGAAGACAGAAAAGAGTGTATTCGTCTCGCTGTGAATCACCTACTTGCGGAATTTCGAAAAGAAGACTTGGCAAACATTCAAGCCCAAACGAAATTGCCCCTCGATGGTTTCTGCAAGGAATACTCCCCAAAAGGAGCCGTAAACGTTCCCTGCAGTTTAACCTAAGCTTATTTTTCCATTTCGAGGCTAGAATGATCGGAACGAGACAAAATTAACTTTTACTCTACGGTTTCGCTAGATAGCTGGTAGTAATCCGAATGACACGATCGACACGCCGTCCCGGCATTCCAAGAGAGAAATCAAGGTTGAAGTACCCGCAGCCACCACAATCTTTACTTTCCATGAATCGAGTAAACATTTTAAAAGATAAAAAGATCTGTCAAATGTAAAATTCTTCAGTTTATTTGAATAACTTTCGATTCTAACTCGTCACATTAACTAGTTTTGGTCTCACTTTTTATAACCAACGAAACAGGTATTTGACAAGGGAAAAATTAGCATAACACGTCACGCAATACATCAGGTTGATTTTGATGGCCTCAGGGAAATGTTGAGTTTGTCACTCAAAACCGCTGTGTTCCATTACAGCGTTTAATCATTTATGATGGAAACAAATTTGCAGAAAGGAGGGCCAGTTCATCCTGTTCCGTGTGCAAATCTCGGGAGAAACTGCAAGAATTCCTTCGAAGTACATGCCTGTTGTTTTGTAAATAACACTGTAACGTATTTTAATGTCTGACCAGTGTGCCAAATTTTATTCTTTAATTTTGATCTTCTTCACACTGTGCGTAGTTGATGACCTGATGTTTCAACGAAGATTATCGAGAAGGCCCGTTATAATCACATTTATTTACTTTGTAAGTCACGCAAGCGCTCTAGCGTCACGATCGATCACGTTTACGCAACGTTTTAGGACAACTCGGCATCTAACCTCCATTCAGTTGTTATGAAAACCTAAAATCCTTAGCGTAAAAGATAAAAAAACGCAGTTTCAACATTCCAAAGGAGATCTTAGTAAATTTTCAGAATTATGCAAATAATCTTTGACACGAGCGCAATTGAGAAAATTAAACACGTGGATTTTCGTGGTTTTAAGATGTTGGTGGATGAAAATTAGAGATATAACCGCGGGTTTGAGGCAATCGGTAACATCATTGGTCTATAAGCTATTCACTGACATGCCTTTTTAGCCCGATTTACGCCTGCATTTTGAGAATTCTTTTGAACAAATAGGCGAATTTTTGATACTCAAATTAAGGTCGATATTCAAATTAAGGTCGAAGAGAAGGGTCTCCTCTGATCACGCTGGTTTGAAAAATATTTCAGGTGAAGTTTCCATATTTTGTCTGTGTGCCAACTGAATACATCTTGTAACTTCTAGCAAGATGGAATCCCGTGAGCCACATTATTGCAATCGCTGTGCCCTAGACAAAATCTGTGAAATTCACACTTTCGATCGTTGATCTAGCCAAAAATCATTTTTTGGCTTGTGGCGACGCAAAAAAAAAAAAGAGAATTGGAGAACAACTACACTATTTTGGAAACATGTGTCTTAAAAAAAAAATTAACAAAAGTTGGAGTCCCAAGACAGCTGACAACATTTATAAAAACTACTTACCAAAAGTAACTCAATGACATTGAATTAGACATTCAATACTGGACTACTGTTTAGAGCACTGTGATCTTTCGCCATAATGTATATAACATGCGATAAACAAACACAACCTTTTCGAAAATACCAGATGCTTCAGATGTGCGCGAAAACTCTCACATACATGACATGCAACAAAAATACTAAAGTTTTCTGACCAAATGTTTTCCACCCATTTTGTCGCGAAAAGTTGCGTAAAATATATCGATTTTTGAGATAGGAAGTCATCTGATGTCAGAAAGTTTTCAAGCCGGCATATGTGTCGTGAACGATGTCTGATGAATCACACTTAAACCTAGATGTAAACATGAATTGGTTAGATACTGTTTCTTTCCAAAACAATTTATTGTTGATATGATTTCTTCAGTCTACAACTTCCTATGGAAAATTCATAATAATTATAGCTAAGAGTTAGAGTGCACTTCGTGTTTAGGGAGTGACTTGAGTAAATTCAGCTTCAAATCCCTTTCCGCACTTTGCATAGCGTCTCACAGTTTTCCTTGAGAAGAATTATGGGTAAGAAAATGATGCTTGCACCTAGCATTTTCTGTAAAATCACTCTACTAATTTAATAGATAAACCGTGATATTATTTCATCTTAAGATTTATCCCTTTTATATTGTACCTTGTGTGTACTTTATTTGAATTGGTGACCTGAAGCTTTCTACTCCGCCGTTGTTGAAGTCCTGCGAAAATTTACCTACGTAACTGGTCATTCGGCTGGCATTGGATGCTTAAACGCAAACAGTTATGGTAACGTTTTTAATCTAGATTATCTTGTTGAGCTGGCTGTCCAAATATAAATTATCTCAACTTACCTCCTCTTTCCGGCCCCCTCTGTCTTTTCCAATTTTGGCTTTGCTCCTCGATACGCAGTGAAGACTTTCACCTTTTTATCACTGAATACAATTAAACTTCATAATTAGAAATGGAAGAGAGCATAAACAAAGAATGGAGGTTGCCATCACCAAAATAAAGATACTTACAGCTGGGTGCCAAAAGTTATTTTCCCACAATAAAAAGGAAAAAATTTCTGCACAATATTTTCGTACGTTTCCAAAGAGGAGTTGAGTGCGATTCAGTTGAGTAGCCTTTTTTTTTCTTTTCTTTTAACTCTCCACAGAAGTGTCTTAATAGCTAAAAAACAAGGAAAGAGTTTCATCTTCTTTCTTACCGTCGTAATGGTAGTGATCACAAACAAAACAAGTAATTTCACAACAAGAAGCGTCAGAGATCAGAGACGAACAAAAGAGATCGCCAACACCCTTTTAATCTTTAAATTGTCCTTTATTCAGAAAAATAGATATTTACAGCTGGGTGTCAAAACTCGTTGTCTCACTATTGAAAGGAATGAAAAAGATCACAGTTTCGTACGTTTCCACAAAGGAATTAATTTTGCTGCTGTTAAATAGCCTTGAAAAGGCAGGTGAAAATTTAACATGAATTATCAATAATGGTCGATCCGGCTCCTGCTTTTTAATTTTGGCTGAACGCTGATAAAGGGGCTCACAGATAAAATTTCTTGACTTTAAAATTTGAATTTAAATCTCTTAACTTTAAGAAGTAATATCGATCTTTACGTTCCTATAAGCATCACTCTTCTAACGTTTGGCCTAAAGAAAAAAAAGACTGCTATGAATTCTATGATTATCTTGTGCGTGTTTATCAAGGTTTGTCAATTATTAAAGACTAACTATTTATACCTCTGAAAGGACCTCGATCTCATACCCCTCTATTCCGATAACGGCTACAACTCTGGGGGAAGATCTTGCCTTTCTGAAAAACATAACCTATTTTCTTTACGGGTTGATTTAAGAAGACAAAGTTCACGAGTTTTTTAACCTTCCCCTTGGTTTTAATTTCAAGTTTAATGGAGTTCCGGCTCCCTCCTGAGGCTTTATAATTCTGACCGTTTATTCAAAGTGTTGTTAAGAATAAAAATGTGGCGAAACGAAGATGTTGTATCTTTCAGTAGACATGTGTACTTTGTCATAAGGTTTTAGAATTGTTACAAAACCTTTTCAAACTAATCGACTTTCAGTAACTTTGAAGGAAAATATCTTTCTCAAAATGAAGAGGAACTTTGTATTCGAAACATTTTATTTGATTAATTTTTATGGCTGAGTCAGGATATGGAAAAATAGTTTGCTTAAATATGAGTGAACTGTAAATACGAGCCTGTTTTGAAAGGTTATGTGTCTTTTTGTGCCCATTGTACAACAAATATAGGCTGATATTTCGATCAGAAAATGTAGGGGTACACTTTCAGGTTGTTTAATGGCACGAATAATTTTCATTTTCTTTTTTTTTCTGAGTCTTTAAAGGAGAAGGTGTGATTAATTTTTTATTAGCCTTTCCACGGCTTAAAGATTTTGAAATGAAAATTAAGAGAAGTAAAGCAGCACTGAGATCAAACAGCAAGATTTTTGTGTTCGTTTTGAGTATGGGTAAGAATAAATCGGTTCTGAATAACAGAGCGTTTATAGTCTCCTTCAAAGTTTATTTTTAAGCTTATATATCAGTTTTTTTTTGGTTTGTTTTTTTGGTTGTTTTTTTGTTTTTAATTTGTTTTTTCGAGCTTGTTCGACAATTCACTGCTTGCCTATAAATCTCTCTTTTCTCTTTTCTTTCATCCGTGAGAAAGCACGAGTCTCCAACTCGAGTCTGCCTGAGGTAAGAAAAAATTTGAATTGAGAAATGATAAGCGAGAATTTCGTATGCGGCTATGCTACTTGGAATATGAAATTATATTTTCATATCTTTTTTTACGTAACAGTAATTTGTGACATAGATCCTCTAACTTTTCGAGAAATGTCAGCCATAGAATGATTACGCTGTTGCAATGCAGTCACGACACCAAATTGTCACAAGACTTTTATAGACCAGCGACCTTGTTGGAAAACTCCTTACCTGAGTAAAGCGAAACTTTATGCGCTGATAATTACTTTCTCATTATTAATGCATGAATAGGAGAGTTCGAGATCTGTAGTTTATGATAATTATTGTAATTCAAAAAAATGTTTTATTAGCTCGGATTAAAACGGTCAGACGTTTTTGAAAAATTTCTCTTAAAACGTCTTAATCTACGTCACGTTTTTCAATGAACACCGCCCTGTAATTAAGCCTGAGTCACGCAATTTGGCATTTTATAAAGTAATTAGAGCATGTCTTTAAATGAACTATTGTTTTTAGGTGAACGAAATGGAAATAACACTAAAACGCTGTTTGTAGGCAGTTCACAAGCCAATAACGGAATATGCATATCTAGCATGAGCTGACTATTTAAGTCACATCTCAGACTTCATTCATTTGTAGGATTAGTCTTCAACAACTTGACGATACAGCGATCCCCATAAGTCTTGGCACAACGGGGTTACAGTAGCAGAGTAAGAGGATGTGAATTTGATGGAAGACCAGGTGGAGTCAACTACCAACAATTTCGGGGAGTATGGGGTTGTGCGGGATGCGGAGTGCGGTTTTTTTTTTTTTAATTTTTTTATATTGTTACGGTATAATCTAACCGACAGGAAAGCACTATAATCCTACAAATTCAACTACTCTATTAAACAAAGAGTGATATTCTCAATAGGGTGCGACTCCTAAAGGCTGTACAGTACTTATCGTTAATGAACTTAATTAAGCCCACCACAGTCTATATCTTAGATCACCACTGACCCGAGATTTGTATTGCTGGATATCAACTGTTA